TGTGCCTGAGAGTGTTGCCCAAATGCTTCTTGAACTCCCCTTCCCCTTCCCCTTCCCCTTCCTCTTCCCTCTTTATTTTAATCAATGAATATAATTTCTCCCTTTCTTGCTTTCTCCCTTAGTGCTAAAAAGTACACAATGTCTTTTTAATAATTAATTAATGAGATCACTTTACAGGTTTTAGTTTAAAGGTAACCATAGCACAAATGCATCCATTATTAACTGCAGAACGGCAGTGGCTTCTTGGGAGCCCTCTTTAGTTTAATATGAGAACCCCTGTCAACAGAAAACAGCGCTGATATTGTTGTTAAGTGTGACCAACTGGCAAATGCAATGGGCACCACGCTGGAACAATGCAAACTGCTCATATCAATGGAAGAGGCAATGTTTAAAAGCGAGGTGAAGGCGGACAGCGAGAGGCTGCTGAGGAAGGTTCGGTTCCGCGTGGCGTCCTCGCACAGCGGGCGGGTGCTGAAGGAGGTGTACGCCGACGGGGAGGCTGCCGACTCGCTGGACTCCGAGTATGCCAGCAGCTCAGAGACTGACCAAACCAGCCGGCTGAGCGAGGTGGACGGGCAGCAGAACGGACACGTAGGGTCGGAGTGTGATGAAAACGACAATGAGCAGGATGACTTGCTCATCTTAGTCAGAGCCACTAAAGAGAAGGGGTTTGGTACAAAGCGAGTCAACATCCTCAGCAAAAATGGCACAGTCAGGGGAGTCAAGCATAAAGTCAGTGCTGGTCAAGCCCTTTTTGACAATTTGGCAAAAGTATTTCAGGTAGGTGATGCAGTTCTGCTGGTAAGCTGTCCCTCTGTCCCTTTTAACTCCACACATTTTTCTTCCCTTTGTTCGCACTGCTCTCATTTAGGATTTCTCTATATTCTGTCTCGTTCCCACTGCTATCCACTTGGACCAGAGGGGTTTGTTGGTCCTTCTACTATAAAATAGCTCCACACGCCATATTGACTGTGAACTTTGCTTTTCAAAACTGACCTAACGTTTGCTGAGTAGAAATACGTATGTTGTGCTTCCCATGGCTGGATTAGGAAAGAAACGTAACAGAGGATTTAACTGGGGCTTTGCTGGAGATCTCTACAGGTCTCTTGTACAGGGATGTGTCATGTTTCCACTCCTATTATATTAATTCTAATGAGTTTACGATGTTATCTACTGTCCCCTGCATGTAAATATGTATACTTGCAAATTCCATTCTGTTTAATCTGCAAAGTAGATCAAACTAGGTGCAGGGTGGCCTCAGTGACGGTTTTCCCACATGAAAATTTCAGGGGAATGAAATCTTAGCCAGAGGTCTCTTTTATTAATGTCTGTTTTCTATTTGTTTTGTAAAAGGAGCAGAATATCTGTATTTGAAACAGTATATGCCACACAAACGCCTTAGTCAGAGAAACACAGGCCTTCAGAAAAAATCAAGATAAAAGTTCTAAAATATTTATCTCATATATATAATTTATCTGTATATGCTATTCAAGCCTTTCAATCATTAATATTCACACAGCAAGAAGTGTGCTGCTAGACTCTTTCTGAAGTTCTTAGAACCCAGAATTATGCTTTTCAAGTAAATTATCCTGTGATGGTTTCAGGGCATTATTCTAAAACTTTTATGCAGTTTTAAAGCATGGGGAGTTTGATATTACTAATGACTTTTTGCATTTTGAAATTACTTTGAAATGAGGTAATTTCATATTACATTAATAAATGGCAATAGATTAACATTCTCTTGCTTCTGGATATGAATTTACCCTCTGTGCTGTACCTAAATTAACAGTCTTTTTGTCAATATGAATGTTCCTCTAGAAATTGAAGTTTCAGAGAAGAGCTTCCTGTTTATTTTTGTTCTTTACATCACATCACATAGCACTTAAATAGTTTGCTTTCATTCAAGCTACTCATGGAAGAGTTTATCCTTAATTCCTTATTCTGATAAAACTTGTAACAAACTCAATTTTTTTTAAAGTATATTTGAATCAGTAGGTATTAATTGAGACAAGTTTGGGTTCTTCTCCAACTTCAATTCCACTGTTCTGTGCTGTTTCACTGCACAGAGTACCCAATTTCACTCCACTAGTCTTATGGCCCATGGACTGAATTCAATGTACTTTGATTGTAAAGCTTGTATTCCTAGCAGAGTTAATGGTAGGAACACCTATTTCCATGAGGTGTTTTGCCAGAAGAAAGTATTTTCTTGCAAGGAGGCATATCCATTTTATGCCTTCAGAAAATAAAATGTATCCAAGTCTACTGCAGAATTCCTTAATTAAAACCTGTAAAAGAATGACTAATTTAAAAGGTGATAAGGATTTTTTTTATTGACAATATTTTACTGTGGAAGAAAGAGGAAAAATTAAATTATCAGATGAAAACAAACCAAACAGTTTTTCATACAGCATGTAATTACAATGAAGAACTCTGCTACAGACATTGCAATGTCCAAAAGAAAAGGCAGGTTTTAAAAGTGGATAAGTAAAATATATGTGGAACTGAAAAGCTTCTTCCTAGGCAGGTCTAGATAAATGATTTGCAGAAAAAACTTTATATTCTTACATTAAGCACCTACTGGATCAAAGACATATATTCAGCCATACAGAGAATATAATGATTTGAGGTGTCTACACAAATTCCCATTTCCCCAGAGATAAAGTTCCAAGTCTAGTGAAAAAGAATGATGGTTTGCATGTCTTTTATGTCATACTCTGAGACAATTTGTATGCCACATGGTGAGCACAGAGGAGAGCAAAACACATAGGTTACCTTTGAGATGGATTTGAAACTGCTCAATCTTAATGAGAAATATGATTGAAATCCATCCAATTACAAATGAAATAATGGGCTTTAGAATGAGATTAAAAGATGATTTCTGGTTTTCTGTAAGCATGTTCCAGACAATTAATTGAGCTGTAATAACAGTTAGAGAACAACAAGAGTTCTTCTTTCAAAGATTTAGTAAGATAGAAAGGTTCTATAGAAATTTAGCAGGTACAACACAAAATCCCTTGATCTGGGCATTTTTCTAAGTTACCCCCTTGATTATGTAAGGTCATTCCAAGTACATTTCTCTTAGACAAACAGAAGCAAATGTATAACAACAGTTAAGAGGAGAGTGCCCCTCCCTGAGGAGAGTCCATCTCTGTCCCTTTGATGATTCAGCAGGAGGAACTGGTATGAGATGAATTAATTGAATATCTCTCAGCATTAGTGTCAAGTCAGTATTTTTAATCTCAGAGTACGCACATGAACTCTTGACAATCCTGTATTCTAAGCACTGATATATTCTTGTATGCAAATGCTTCTTAGTTAGTATTTACTATATCACTTCCTAACTAAAATGTGCATGTAAGAACCCAAATACTGAGCATGTTTGAGTGTTCTGTGACCCTGAAACTAGGATGTGTTTTTTTTCTGCAATATCAGCATTCTAATTCTTCAGACTATATCTGCAAACTCCTGTAATATACTATTTCCCCAAATCCCTAGAGGCTTCCTGTGATAGAGGAGAGATCCTTTAAAGCAAATCACTTTGCTCAGATATTATAGGGATAAGCAGGGATTCATTAACTGTGCTTCATTATGTTGTGCACCCAAAACCTTTGATTTTGTCTGTTCAAATACCTGTGCTAAAAGCACTTGTGCATTTTAATGTTCTATGGAAATATCAGGATTTGTGAAACTTTTTTTTCACGTTTTCTTACTACAGCCTTTCTACAGAATTGGTTCAGACACTTTCTTCCCACAACAAACTTATCTGAAAAAAAATCACACTTTCTGGAGCTTTTTTTTCAACTTTAAGATAGTGATGTAATGCAGGAAGTATTTTTAGATGAAAGGGTGCTTTTGGTTGTTGTTGCCATAAGATACAAGCCTGGTCTGAGAATGTATGTCTAGTGTATGTGCTAGATATACATCTAGCTACATCTTCCCACAGTCAGCACTTCCCTCACCCGTTCAGTCTGTGACCTCTCATTTCTGCTGTTCCCTGGGAAGCTGAGTCCTTCACATCACTCTGTCCCAGGACTGTCTGTGTCCCCAGATGAGAGCTGCTCCAGCGCTGTGACAGTGAAAGGTCCTTTAGGTCATCCCTGTGCACCAAGCCATCCCTGGGGGAAGCTGCTGCCGGGTGAGTGGGAGCAGCTGGGGCCAGCACAGCCGTGGGGATGGAATGTGGGACAGGGTCCAGGGCTTGCTTCAGCTTCAAGGCAGAACATTCTGGGTGAAGAAAGGTGGGAAAGAGACAAGCTCTAGTGATGCTTCAGGACAGCATGGTTTCCATGGCAACCCCTCCAGCCTTTTCCTCCTTGGGTGGATGCCACAGAGAGACTGTTGACATAGCAACCACATCCTGGCAGGGTGAGGGAGTGGTGGGTGGGGTGGTGATGCGTGTTGACATAACAACAAGTCAGGGTGGGGAAGGTGGGAGGGAGGTCACTGGTGGTCATCTGTGGAGGGCAGGGACAGTCACATGTGACACCCAGCCTCCACTAGCACCTAACCTGGGCCTGGGGGTAGCCTCCCACAGTGCTGGAAATACAGGTGTCAGACAGCTGGGAACAGTTTGTGAGAAACACACACGGCTGAAAATCCTGAAAAGCAGGAGGGAGCTGGAGCTCCCAGTCTCCCTGTTCATGCACCTCCTTAGTATAAATTTTCTCCTGCTGAGACTCTAAAGCTGGCAGTGCTGGCAGCTCTGAAGCTGGGGACATGGCTTGCCAATTGTGTCAGAAGCATAAGCCGCTTCTCTGCTTATCTGAAGTAATTGTGGTTTTATTTCAGAATACTACCAGAAATTTTGTATTCTAATATTACAACACTGTTTAAATGCCAAGGTATATGAGTATTTCCTGCAACTTTCTTTAAAAAGTAGTACAAAAATAGTTCTTTTTTCCTTGAAATAAATGTAATTCTCTTCCAGTTTTTATGACTATTTTAAGCCATTCCTATGGCTATGGCTGAGTCATGTAGAGCAAAAATCTTTGGGTTGTCTAATATATTACTAGGTAGTGCAATGATCATTTTATGCCAAACTGGATTTCCATCCGAATGTGCAATGTAATGGAGCTCAGCCAAAGGTTTTACACAGGTCTCTCCTCATTTTCCATGTTTCAGCATGGGTATTTTTCCTCCATTCCCATACTTACACAGTCCACTGGCCTTCCAGCCTCCTCTGAAAGGTCAGGTTCTACTAAATTAGCCACAGAACTCATTCTCAGGTAGGGCTTTCTGACGTCTATTGCAAAAGGGCAGGCCTGGTTAACAGACCTGATGAATGCCTTTGTGAGCATTGCGTCAGAGAGGATACGGATGAAGAGGCAGACATTACACAGTCTTTACACATTTATATTTCCAAACAGTTTCTCAGGCAGAGCTCACATTTAAGGTTGTGAAGTGTAACTCATTATTCAGCCTGATGAAGAATGAGCTTATTAATATTTAGAGAGAAAGGTGGGAAAGAATAAAGGATCATGTAGAAGTTTGTTAAGAGGAGAACTTTTGGGGTGGTTAAGAGAACTTTCATCTTTCTTTACTTGCAGGTAACCTGGAAAAGTGAATATACAGCAGGACATGCAGAGCTTACAAACCCATAGGGCTAGCTCGTACCACAAACAAAATAAAGCGAAATACAGCAGCAAAGCCAACAATCTCCTGAAGAAGTCAGAGGCTTCAAAGTGTTGTTAAAGGAAAAATCCTTGTGTAGTAGTAGGAACAAAGGTTTTTAGGGTGGGTGGCATGCTGTACATCACAGCAGCCTCTGGAGCATATATCACTACAGTCCACAAAAGTATGGGGAGATGAGAGAGATCTCCACTTTCACTGGAGAAGTCTTGATAAGACTTTATAAAGAGAAAGTCTCTCTCTTGCTGATCAGCTGATGATCAGTGTTGAAACTCCAGAAATCATTTGACCATTTGAATTCCAAATCCTCTTCTGGATTTTTTTGTCCAGGACTGGACAAAAATTGTAATAACTCTCCTGAACTTTGCCTTCATATTCTTCTCCATGCACACTACTCTGATTCCCAAATGGACGTAGCTTACAAAAGTAAACAATGGACTGGATTGCTTGCATAGAGCATTTGCTGCAGTAACTCCCTTATATGGAGAGAGATAAATACCAGTGAGCTGCAGGTATCTGAGTTACAAACTTCAGTGTTTTTTCCTAGTGTTAGCAAGTCTGGAAAAGTAATTATTGAACAGTGTTGCACTGAAATCCACTAGAGAAAAGGAAAAATTGCAATGACATAGAGGATCAAATAATTATGAAAAGCAGGTTTTTGCTTGTTACAGAAAAATCAGAGGGAGAGCAACTAAATCACCACTGGAATGGGCAAAGCATTGCTTCACCACTTGCTTTGTACCTTCAGAAGGGCTTTGATCTGTGACCACACTGCATGGGGCAGTGATTCATCTGATGCTGTTGATCATGTCACAGTTATCAGAAGTGGTTTCCAGAGCAGATGTCTGAACAGATGCACTGAATTTAAAAGGGAGATGGTTGTGAACTTTTAACTAGAACCTGGATTTGGTCAGTATTTAGGATATTGGTTTTTATTGTTCACATGTTGTAGAAATCAGTTGTAAAACACTGAGGTCAGACAAGTCTATTACTTGACTATTCAGGGCATTTTAGGATTTGCTTCTGGTGGATTTGAAATACATATTTGACATATACTTGATAGAATCAGCAAATATTTTAAATAATATAAATAATTTTTAACTATCTACACCTCTGAAAGTGATATACAAATTTTGAGTTAAAAAAGACTTGGCTGTCTCATTTTCAAAAAAGTGTAGATATGGGATGTCTTGGCTTCTCAATATGCTCAATGTTGGGAAGATTACCAACAAAACTGTGGTTAAATGTATCAATTTTTTTTAATGAATGAATCAATAACTGAAGAAAAAAAATAATTAGGCTTTTATGCTGGCAGTCTGACCAGCATGTCCTGGACATCTGTCTAAGCTTCCAGTGCACTGCATAGCCTTAAAATTACTCTTGCTCTGATGAGTCTTGATCCTTGTAAAGGATCCATAAATGAGGTCAGTGTCTTGAGCTGCTGGCCTTCTGCCTTGCATGGGAAAGAGCACAGCAAAGAAGGAGTGGTGTCACCACAGTAAACTTGTATATACAGAATATCTAGTATTAGAGTGAACTAAGACTTTAGTTATAGATTCAAAAAACTCACAGGCCTCTGAGGAAGGACTTAGACATCAGGCTACAAAACTAAGATTCTCCAAATCTCTCTTGGTGCCACCTTGCCTCAAAGGCACCAAGAACCCTTGCTTAATGAAAATTTCACTTATGCTCTGCCTTGGCCATGTGCCTGAGCATGTCAGGATTGGCAGCACCTGAGAGTTACTTCCTACTTGTATCCTATGGGATCCATAAAATAAGGGTTCCATTGCCTGTCCCCCCTCATGGCTTCATGCAGGTGGTGTTCCACGAGCATTCCTGGTGGATCAGCTCCTACATGAACTGCACAAAAGCATATGCTGCTTTGTTACAAATTGTGTCTGCAGGAGGCAGTGTTGGGAGCTGGACTTTGAAACTCGCTCACAAGATAGTGAGAATAAGTTGCTGGAGCAGGAGTAGAACACAGGCTTGCTGATTCTCAGCTTGCCATACCGAAAACTAGTGTTCTTCAGCATCATGCTTGACTTCCATTTCCTCCCTCCCTCCCTCCTGCACTTCATTGATCACACAGTTCCATGTGCATGGAGGTATCCAAGAAAAACTTGTAGCCTATAACCTGCTTGTTAGGCAAAAAAGGTAGAGAGGAGGCTGAATCAGTTATTCGAGACATGGGAGATTGCAAATAATCATGTTCTGCTGCCTTGTTTCATCCTCTCTCTTCAAATCTTAAAATAGATTTGCTTTCTGTTTGAAAGAATGAACACAAATGCCAAATGGAAGAAAAGGCTTCCTGGTTTTACTAAGTGGGATGCCTAAGTCATATTGGCCTCAGGGAATTCTCTGAGCTGAAAATAGTCATAAAATGAAAGAGTATTAGTAGGAAATGCCATATATGCTTTCCAGACCCTTACTTTTAATTATCTTTTTGGTAGATGACCTGGAATACCAGACAAGCACTGATCCTATGTACTGCTCTGGGACTCTTACATAATGTCCCTTTGTGGGACTGGTCAATAAGGTGCTCAGCCTTTGAATTAACATGGAAAATGCTTCATCTTCAAACTAACTTGATAAAGGGTCATGTTACACAAGCAGCCTATCAAAAATATCTTAGGATGTTAGCAGAGAATTTTTTTCTACTTATTCTCAAAGTAGAATTTTTTTCCTGTATTGGCCTCTTACAGCAGAGATGAAAAAGATGAACTGATTAGCCTTAATCATTAATTAGTAGCAATGACTCTTTTATTTTGCTGTCTGTGAAGCTGAGCTTGGTAATTCAGCAGGAGAATAAGAAGAAAATGTGAAGTAGTCTCATAAATAGGACTATCAAGAAAATTTGGGGCTATTCACCTTTTTTTGACATGGTACAACAGGCTGCCTGCTAGTTCATTGTCCCTGAAACTTTACGTGCCTTCAACACAGCAAATATAAATTTTTTAGAACACATAAAGGTGAAATAAATTACCTCTGTGCTTAATTACTAGCATCATACTTGGTCACTGACCCTTACTTTTGTGTACAAATAAATTACTCTGCAATCAAATGTTTTGGGGTTCTTACTGCACTTGAGTGTCCTAGGTTAAGTATGTTTTACTTAAAACTTTACAAACATAGGAGGAAATATTTGGCTGCATCGGGCCAGTTTGTCACCAGAGATCAAAACTGTGCAATTGCAAAAGTATGGTAATAATGAAGATGAAAAATAGATCCTTTATTAAAACTTAAAAAAAAGATTCTAACATGTTAAATGGCATTAAAATACCATTATTTAGTTTACAGATCTTAAAACAGTTTCAGTTCTGAACTAAGATTTGAAAATACACTAAGCTAGAAAATATAAATGTATAAGTACCACAGGTATTGTGTTGCTGGACTGCTCCAGTCTGTCAACAGCTTGCTGTGATATTTGTCTACTAGGGTTGGCATTTTATTACATACTGCACCAAAACAAGGTACATGATTAATAGCTTGACAGAAGGAAATGGTCAGGAAAAAGACAATTTTTTTTTCTTGTCTATAACTTTAGTCTGTAACCGCAATGTTTAGTGACATCACAATTTTGTGAATTGAAAGCTGAAATAAAACATTCTTTAGAATGGAATTTGCAACCAGAGAGAAAAAGGTATGGCTTTCATTCATGAAAACCTTTCTAATTGCTGCAACATCCTTTGCAAGGTAGTACAAAACATGAAAATCAAGCCTCAATGAATTTTTCCAAAGCCTGTAAGAGGAATAATAGATAGGGCAGCATCCCCAGCCTGCTGGTTTTGAACAGAAGCTGTAAAGTTACAGCTCCCCATCCAAACAGGCAATCTTGTTGTTTTGCTTGATGCAGTAGTTATATTGTGGAGAAGCTGGCACAGCACGACTCGTTATAGCCTCCATCACAAGAAGCAACAGAAATGGTCACAGATGAGCAGCTGGAGCCACAGAGGTAGAGACTCATTTCACGCATGGAGAGAAAGAAGACAGGAAAAAACATCATTCATTGCTAGTATGAATTGTGGAAAGCATTTTAACAACCTTAGTACAATTTTGCTTTGGAACTTTATCTAGAGACATCATCCATCAATGTCAGATGAACATGTCCTCAATATTGCAGTAAAACCACACACAGACTCATTCTTTCTCCACTTCTCACAAAGAAATACAGAAAGACTTACTGGGCAATATTTGCACATGTTTACAACACCATGCAGTGTTATGAGCTGCATTGACAAATCAGCCAATGCTGGTATAAAGGCAAATAACAGTTTCTTTGGAATTCACCCTTGTTTTGAATAATACTGATTGCTAATTATCTAACAAGCTTTAAAACTATTAGGAGTTGTAAGGAGTAACACATTGCTATTTAAGGAAAATTTTGTTTCTCCTTAAAAGTTCTCTAAGACAGAAGGAATTCAGTCTCTAAAGAACTCACAGTTTTTTAAAGAAAAAGCAACATTTTTCTGCCCCGCTGCTCATGTCTTGCTATTTGTTTACTACATCTAAAAGCAATGCACTCTCCTTCCTAGCCCTACAGGCAATTGTGAAACATTTCTCCGTTGTTCAAGAGTGTCCTAAGAGACAAACTGATAGACACAGCGAAAAATGGGAATGCATTATTGCTTCTTTCCACCTGCCACATCTGCACCTTGAGAACTCCCCTTTCCAGGTGTTGGCTGATGAGGTCTCTGGTGAGACCCCACCTGCAGTGCTGCATCCAGCTTGGGGATTCTCAACACAGAAGGGAGATTGACCTGTTGGAGCAAGTCCAGAGGAGGGGCCAGCAAGTTAATCAGACTCTCTTATGAGGAAAGGTTGAGAGAATTTGGTTTGTTCAGCCTGGAAAAGAAAAGGCTTTAGAGTGATCAAATAGCGGACTTCCTGTACGTGAAGGATATTGAGGAGAAAGATGGGGCAAGACTCTCTGCAAGAGCATGCAGTGACAGACCAGGAGGAATGGAATTATTCAAATTCAAAGACAGTAGGTTTAGATTAGATATTAGGAAAAGATTCTTTACTGTGGGGGTAGTGAGGCATTAGAACAGCTTGCCCAGGGAAGTTGTGGATGCCTGTCCCTTGGAAGTGTTCAAGGCCAGGTTGGATGAGTCTCTGAGTAACTTGGCTTAGTTGAAAGTACCCTAAAGGACTTGTTCAGGAAATAGATTCTCTTCATCTAACTGGAAAATGGAAAAAACAACAGCGATGGCAGCTGTTGTTGTATCTGTTGGGTGGTCAAGCCTTTTGCAAACCTGTCTGCCTGGTGTATGATATCCTTTTTCATCCTCATGTAGAAGATTGTGGGGTGGAAGGACACTTTTACTGGCCAGTATTTACATCTGAATGCAGGTAATACTTTAGGGTTTTTTTAGCTGCTCCTGACTGGGAGCAGTCTTGAATCATGCAGTTCCTTCAGTCAGGTAGTTTCATCATCAGCTACTCCAGCAGTTCTCTTTTGGAGACACAACAGATGAGGGCAAGAGGTTTTAAAAAAGGAGTGCAGTCTAGTGAAATTTCTGACCTGTTTTTTATGCTTTCCCAATTATCATTTTGGAAGAAGGCAGAAATGCAATCAAGTATGGAGTTTCAACATTGTTTGAAGACATGATATGAAGTTAGAATAAATGTTGTTATTGATTTTTCTTGCTGCTAGTTATTAAATGATATCTATGCCAAGAAGCCATTGAAATGTTATTCCAAAAGAAAAGAAGGCAGATGATTTAACAATCTCAGCTTCTTCATTTGTAGTTCTATTCCTTGAACAGAGCAATTTAACTCTAGGACATAATATAGATTCTAGGCTCACCGTAGGAACATTATTGTATGAAAAATATGATTATAAGAACATTTTATTTAAAAAAGACACATCTCTGAGCAATCCTGAATCAGGCTAGAACATAAATCTGCTTACACCAGCCTTGGTAAAAA